CTCCTAGTTTAAGGAAACATCATCATGTCAAACTTCTTCCTTCAATGCTACAATGAAAATATATTCTGATATATGTCATATTCTTAATATGAGTCTTGCATAGCTACGTCCCTAAAATTGTTAGAGTCGTAAAGTCGAGGCTGGATAATGAATCTGAACATGGCATATTTGCAAAATCGATATAGTCAGCTTTATAGTGTTTTATCAAGCATACCAGATGAAGACCCCGCGGCAGTAGCAGCTCCTGAAGCAACGGTGGCACAAAGTTTGAGCGCCCTTACAGCCAAATCAAGAAGTTCGTCCAGCATAAGTGTCGGGCTGGCGAGAAATGCGACTGGACAGTGCTGAACAAGTCGAGTGGTTAGTCGAAAGAGATCCTCTACTAGAAATGGTTCCTGAGTAAGAGCATGGCCGGAAAGGGCTCTTAGAGAAAGAGGTGCAATGGCCTGCATAAAATGACATGGGTGGGGAAATATTTAAAAAGAGGCAAGGAAAATTTACACGAAGGTATCAATATCAATAAAATGTAGTCTCTATTTTAGTCGCAGTCTCCTTTCTTCGTATGCTTAATTGATCTCGTTTTCGCACCTTGATCTTGCTATGAGAAACCAAGATGAACTTACTTTGTCAGGAGTCCTCTGTCCTAGTCGACATGATAATCTACAGAAGTGTAGACAATGCACCAAGTCCATGGTCCTAAGCTGGAAGCTGCAATGGATACTATGATAAAGAACACGAGATAAGATGTGTGCACTTTGCTCTCGGTGACGAGACAACCAGGTTACAAAGATAAAGTCAAACCACTCCTCACAAATTAGTATACGAAGACTTTGATTAACTCCGAAATAAAATAAGAAAAATGTTAAGTTCTGAAAGTAGTTAACATGACATTTTTTAAAATTGGTATTTCATATTAGAACAAAATTGTAATAACATGTTTAATTTATTGGGGGGGACTTTGGTTTCGTATGAAAGTGCATGAAGAAGAAATTCTTAGGTTGATCTCACCAGAAGAGGACGGATGAATCCCGTTGTACTGCAGTTGGTTGGCTTTTATACGACGTTCAGATTGACGCAGTTCACGAGACCTTTCTCGTTTCGGTAAAAACGGGCTTCAACGGGATTCAGTTGTCCTCTTCTGGTGAGATCGACATACGAATCCCATCATCATGCACTTTCATACGAAATGAAAGTCCCCAAAAACAATATTGAATGGGGCTACAAGTCTTCCAAAATAAAGGCGACCACATGATCTGGAATATGGAACAACTTTATCTCTAAAAATGGGCATACCTAAAGAAATGTAAGTTTCATCTAAAATAATTTTTATTCCGCAATTCCTAACTAACTGTCAGATGCTGGGAATCATGACAACTACTATGGCAGACGACTTCGGACTAGGTGCGTTCTACATAG